TCTTAACTACACTGGGGCTGAACAAATCAGTTAATATATTGTAGATAATTAGAGGCAGCTATCTCACTGTCAGAGAAATAAGGTAAATGTAAGGAAAGGGAAAAGGCTAAATGAAATCTGTAATGTTATATTGAAATTGAAGATATAGGTACGAATTCATGGTTTTTAACGAATGGGTGAGTGGATGGATTGACAGATAGATAAAGATGGACATGTGTATGCATGAATAAGTATACATACATATATTTCCTGGCTCTGTCTCTTCGGCGAGTCTAGAAACAATAACACCCCAAAAGCAATATGCATCCACATCTTGGTTTCTAAATATCATTCTCTAATAAAAGGAGAAGTTATTGATTACAAGGCTAGAGCAAGGAAAATATAAGGAGAGCCTGGGGCATCTTGTGGTACCAAAAAATAATTGAGATGGTGTTCAAAAAATGATAAGGCATATCAAAAAGACATAGGAGCCCGGACAGGGTGACTTAGTGGATTGAGCATCATCCCATGCACCAAGAGGTCACTGACTAGATTCCCAGTCAGGGTACATGCCCAGGTTTGGGGCTCAACCTCCAGTAGGGGGCATGCAAGGAGGCACCCAATCAATGTTTCTATCTCTCCCCTTCTCTTCCTCTCTCTCTAAAAAATCAATGAAAGCATATTAAAAAAAAAAAAGACAGGAGAACCCTGATGAGTTCCCAATGACCACAGTTTGAACAATTTCAGCAATAAAATTAATAATAATTGTTTTAAAAAAATGATAATAATAATTGTTTTGGGTTCTAACTCATAGAATTTCAAAACAAGTTCAGAATGATAAAAAGTTCATAAGTTCATAATGATTTAAAAAAAAAAAACTTCAATAAAGAACTGAAAGAGAAGGGACACTTCTTCCTTATAGAATTCCAATTAATAAACGTAGAAATAAGGAAAACAGAAATCATTAACTTGTCTGTTAAAATGATAAGGAGCCAACAAGGCAAACTCTGTGCTTCTGGGTCGTCTCTCTGGCTGGGATAAATAACCCCCATGTTTAATTAAGCAAAGCCTCTCATCTCTGTTCTTACAAACTCAGTTGGGGCAAAGGCCACTGCTACCACTTTACAGACAGGGGTGCTTCATGGTGAGCCAGAAGCCAAAATGGCTCCAACTCTACCCAGCACCATCCAAACCTCTCCTCATTCTGGCTTGGAATTTCTGAATTTCATTTCTTCCTGAGAGAAAATTTCCTCTCTGACCTATCAAAACTCTGATTGTGCTTTAAGATCCAGAGTGTATCAGGACTCATTTGGTTGCAAGGAACAGAAAACTGAACTCAAACCATGCTAAGCAAAAAGAGGATTTCCTGGCACACATAACTAAAAAGTCTAGCAGTCATCTGGCTTTAGCCTCTTAGGTCCAGGGACTCAAATGACACATCTCTCCACAATATTGGCTGCATTCACAGATGGGCTTTCCCCTCAAGGGGGCAAGATGGCTACCAGTAGCCCTAAGCCAACATCTTACACTCTCTGCCCATCCAGCATAAAAAACACTGTCCTATGGGAGACACCCCCAAAAGTCCTGGAGTGGATGCTCACTGCCCTGCCTGGCACAGGTGCCCACCCTGAATCAATCTCTAGGGCCAGAGGAATGGGCCTGACTAAGTCACATGCCAACTCTTGTAGCTGAGTATGGGATGAGCCCCATTCATACCTCATGGTGAGTACCTAAGATGTGACTAATTCCCCAAAGCAAAATTTGGATGACAATGGTTCTTGATGAGAATGGTTCCTGCACTGTTGAATTAACATATGTCCACTTTACCCCAACCCCTCGCTCAGAATAATCTGTCCTACATCCTCCAGCCCGTTGTCTGAACGTCTGCATCAGCTATGACTTTTTTCTGCCCTGTGGACAGGCCAGTTCACACATGTTTTCCCTGTTTACTAGCATTCTGAGCACCAGGGATCTCATTCTCCAAAGCCCCTGGGCCCCACCCCACACCCTCAGCTGCCTAGCAAAGTGCCACTGCACCCGGAGGAAACACTCTGCATCGGGTCCCACCCCCTCCTGACTCAGGGCTGAGTCACTGAGATCCATGTCAGCTGAGCACCAACCTTGAAAGTGCCTGCCAAGCTCGTCTCCTGGCTCTAGCGTATTCCAGGACCTGGGGACGCTGGCTTGACAGATGAGATAATTATGTTTTACCCTTCACTCACGCCTTTATCAGCCACTCGGATGAGAACAGATAAGTGTTCCAGTGGAAGAACACACTCCTGCAGTATTTACCTGTTAGTTCTCTTTAGTGCCAGCCAGCTCCTCCTTCCAAGGCACAACTTCGGGACCAGCCCACACCCCTTGTTATCTGGTGCCAACTACTTTGTGCTACCCTCTTGTCAAATGCCAGGCCTCACTTTCCTTATTCAATTTCCCCAGGTGCTGTGGCACCCCGGCCTTTCTGGTAACTTACACATAGAGGGCGACTGTCTCCATGGCACCCCTGCCCCTGCCTGCTCTGCCCTTGGACCTCTCTGCAGAATGTGGCTCTGCTGGGTTCCAAGACCCATAGCATTAGTTAGATGAAAACGAAAACAGAGAAAAGTAGTGGGTGTGCCGAAACCGGTTTGGCTCAGTGGTAGAGCGTCAGCCTGCGGACTGAAAGGTCCCAGGTTCGATTCCGGTCAAGGGCATGTACCTTGGTTGCGGGCGCATCCCCGGTAGGGGGTGTGCAAGAGGCAGCTGGTCGATGTTTCTCTCTCATCGACGTTTCTAGCTCTCTATCTCTCTCCCTTTCTCTCTGTAAAAAATCAATAAAATAAATTTAAAAAAAAAAAAGAAAGAAAGAAAAGTAGTGGGTGGAGAGGCATTAAGTGCTACAGACTTTGAGACCTTCCAATACAAACTTTTATTCATTCATTCATTCATTCAACAAACCTTTATTCAGATATGCCCGGGGTACTGTGGTAGGTGCTTCAGATGTGGAAAAACACAACACAGACAAGTCCCTGTGCTCATGGAGCACACCTTCTACTAGTCATCTGACTTATTTACATTTACATTTCACAAAATATCCCTTAGTGATGGGTATAACTATCTCCAGCCTACAGACAAGGAAAATGGCAGCTCCCAAAAGGACCTCGCCAAAGCTGAAGTACAACTCAGGTCTTCTGATTCCAAACCTTACTCTCTTCCCAAAGCTTACTCTCCCAAGGCAAGTGGCTAGCAAGGTGCTGTCAATAAACTCAGTCCCAGGCTCATCACGAGAGGTAGAAGATATAAAAAAAAGACCAAATCCCTGATGGAATAGAAGCTATAGTCTTAAGAGAGAAAAAGACCAACTATCATTTGTGGCAGGAATAAAGGTAGAGTGATTAAATTCAAAGAGGAATCTATCTCTAAAATAATACACAGGAAATAATGACCACTTTCAGGCAGGAAAATTGGGATCCTGAGGAACAGGGATCCGAGAATCATTTTGTATGTTCAAATATTATATATTTTGAATTGTGTGCCATGCAAAACTATTTCCTATTAAATGACACTTTGAGGATGCAATCAACCAAATCCTGAATGTGGAAAATTCTAGGGGATAAATGATCTTGTTCTTCAATAAGCAAGAAAGCTCAAAAAAATAATGAAAGAAAAGAGGCAGGGGAAATAAGAGATTTGAAAGAATTCAGAAAACATCAACCAGATGCAATATTTGTACCTTATTTGGATCCAGATTTGAACAAACCAACTTTATTTTTTTTTAAATATATTTTATTGATTTTTCACAGAGAGGAGAAGGATAGAGAGTTAGAAACATCGATGGCTGAGAATCATCGATTAGCTGCCTCTTGCACACCCCCTACTGGGGATGTGCCCGCAACCACGGTACATGCCCTTGACCGGAATTGAACCCGGGACCTTTCAGTCTGCAGGCCGACGCTCTACCACTGAGCCAAACCGGTCCTGGCTGAACAAACCAACTTTAAAAATATATTTTGGCAACAAGGAAGATTTAAATGTGGACTATTAGAAATTATTAAGGAATTATTGTTAATTTTGTTAGGTATGATCATGGTTTCTTTAAAGGTCCTTATCTATTAGAAATACATACTGAAGTATGTAACATGAAATAATATGAAACCTGAGAATTCCTATTAAATACTTCAACAAATAATAATTATAAAAAAATAAATAAAGGAATGAATAAAGGGGGAATAGACAAAATTGGCAAAATCATTTCTGAAGTTGAATGACAGTTCCACAGGACTTCATAACACTATTCTCTCTACCTCTATGAATGGCTGAAATTTGCATAATAAAAATGTCAAATACATTTTTTTAAAAATTAATTATTCCATCCACCAAAGTTGATTGTTTAGGGGAGTGGTTGAGCTGAGTCTGGAAGGATGACTTGGAATTTTCTAAAGGGCAAAGGGCTGAGCAGACATCTTTCTGGAGGAACCAAAAGTATCTATATTTGACCCCAAACTCAACTTACATTCAAAAAAGATGCCCTTACTTGATGCCCCAACTCTCTCTGGGATATCTAGTCACAGCATCAAAATCAACCACCCTATTCCAAGTGAGAACAGAATGTGAGGGGTGGACAGCTCCACTCAAAGACCTGCAAGAGGCCCCAGTGTCACCCTCAGAGGACAAAAAAACAATTAACCTCTTTCAACTGGGTTTTGCCTGACAAAGCAGTTTGAAAGCCAGCTGAGTTATCTCAGGAACAGAGCCATCCTTCCTCCTGAGTAATCCCAGAAACACACCCCAGCCTCCCTGGCAGTGCCTTGCAGATCCATGGCCTTGGCACTACAGGATCTAGTTGATGTCAGCCTGGCAGCCCAGCTCCTCCTGGGCAGCCACAGCACCTCCAATGAGGAGGTTGTCCTTCCCTCCTTCCTCCCCAGCCCCATCCTCAATCCCCACCCTGGCCCCTGCATTCAGGAAGTGTGCTGGCTTTGCAGCCACTTCGGGACTTACTCAGTCCTGGTCGGGCTCAGAGGGGTCCCATGGGTCCTTACCTCAGAGCGAACCTGTGCGTACTCCTCCGAGCCATAGGGAACACTCCTCAAGGAGGTGAGATAGTCGTAACTGATGACAGCTGTCTGTGAAGCAAGAAAAGGGAAACTTAGTGCCCAGGCCTCAAATACGACTCCTCTGCCAAAGAACTAAAGCTGCAGGTCCCTGACACTGGGAATAGGTAATCCCACCCCTCAGACGCTCTGCCCCCAGACTTTTTTTTTCTTTTACTCTTTAGAGTACTACATATGTCTCCTTTATCCCCGATTCTGCCCCAGATCTTAACCTGGCTGGCTTTTTCCTGTCAATCAGAGCTTTGTACAAATGCCACTTCTGCAGAGTTCCAATCTAAAGTTGCCCTCCCCCCCCCCGCCCCCAACTCTCAATTGTCTGTCATAGCAAACCACCATCCAGAATTACCTTGCTCATTTGTTTCCTTGAATTTGTCTCCCCTGTGCTAGAATTTCAGCTGTCTGGGCACGGGGCTTGTCCTTACCGTGTCAGGCATACAGGTAAATGCTCAGTAAATACTAATTGAATGAGGACTGTTCCCACTCTCTGTATCACAAATAAACATCATTTTATATTTATGTTTGCTCTAATAACTTAAGTTTTGATTCTCAATCCCTTGGCCAAAACTCCAAGAGAAGCCCCCTTACCTCTGGTGAATCAGAAGACAACAATCTCCCAGATATCTCAGGCATGGAGGAACTGTTGAGATTGCCTTACCCAAACATCCCCTTTTAGAATTGAGCAACTGAGGCCCCTAGAGATTAAGGTGAAAAGGAAAATGGGGGGAGGGTGGGGAGGTGGGAAGAGCTTACAATCTAGTTCAGTTTCTGATTAAAACTATAGTCTTACTTCCCCACTCCGGTTTGGGCGAAGCTGCAGAGCCTAAGGTCAGGGCCCCACCACAGCTCACTTGGGTGGAGCTGTGGAGCATGCCCCTAAGTTCCCACCAAGACTGACTTGGGCAGAGCTGGGGGGACCCTCAGGGGCCCGCCACAGGGTGAGATATATAGGTCAGAGCTTCCCCATGAGTTCAGTTCAGGCTTTGGATCCAGAATTCCTCTGGACTAGCAGATCTACAAGATAAAGGTTAAACTTTCCTCCCACGGAGTGCTAGCTGATCTTTCTCCTGAGCATTCTGCCATAACAAAGGGGCTTACAAAGCTGATTTGTTCCTTCGTCTGCACCCCAATGCTTTATTCCATTTGACATATACCGTGTTTCCCTGAAAATAAGACATCCTCTGAAAATAAGACCTACTTACAGGTTTCCTTCTGAGTGAAATATAAGGCATCCCCCCGAAAATAAGGGCCCCCTAGGCTAAACATGAGAGATTTGGTCCACTGATTCTGAAAGAAATGGAGTCACAAGAAATTCACCAGGAAATTCAGGAATTGGTTTGTTATGATGATGTTCCAGATGATGACATGATTGTCACTGAATAAATGAGTAAATTCTTGATTCTGTAGGATTCACAGTTTGTCTGTTTTGTGTTGACAACTACCAAACTACCGTACCGTATACAGGTAATTTCCTTTATTTTCATTTAACAATAAATGTGTACCGTATTCTTCTTCATGGAAAAATAAGGCATCCCCTGAAAATAAGACCTAGCACATCTTTGGGAGCAAAAATTAATATTAGACACTGTGTTATTTTCGGGGAAACAGGGTACTTGAACGCCAACCACAACCAAGACCTGGTCACTAAGCAGTGCAGAATAGTGAAGACCAGAACCCTACCCTTTAAAGCAGTGATTACCAAAGTGTGGTACGCATACCCCCAGGGGTATGGGAAGAGTTTGGTGGGGGTACACGTTGCACTGGAATTTGGTGGGGATAGGCACTGCACCGTGCTTAGCTGTGCCTAATTCTACGTTCTCATGAGTACGAGGGGTCCTCAGCGTTACGAAAATTATAGAAGGGGTACACATATGTCAAAAGTTTGGGAAACACTGCTTTAAAGAATGCACAGCCTAGAGGCTGATTTACAAAGCACTGATAAAGACCTTCCTCCCTTTTGTACAACTGTTCAAATCCCTAAGGCTCTATGGCACTCCCTATAGCACTCATCCTGACTCCTGTGTCTGAGGTCCCACAGTGGTGGTCTTCCTACACACTATTTTGAGCCTGTGTAGGGCTGTAGATTCTTTTCTGACCCATTCAGATGAGTATTTCTCAACCAGAAATTCCTTCAAAGCTTTGTCTAAGTGGGACAGTTTGCTTTTACTCCTCAAAGCATATAAGACAATGCTAGACCCCAAAAAGACACTCAGAAAACACAGAAATCGTTTCATAGTCCATGCTCTGTTTATCTATTGTCTGTTGTGATTCTCTGACTCGGCTTTTCCCTGGAAGGTAGGCCCTACAGCAGCCTCCCTCCCCTCTGAGCCAGGCCAGGGAGAAGATTTGATAATGCCAAGAATTAAAGAAATGGCCGGGACCTGTTTGGCTCAGTGGATAGAGCGTCGGCCTGCGGACTGAAAGGTCCCGGGTTCGATTCCGGTCAAAGGCATGTACCTTGGTTGTGGGCACATCCCCAGTAGGGGGTGTGCAAGAGGCAGCTGGTCGATGTTTCTCTCTCATCGACGTTTCTAACTCTCTGTCCCTCTCAATTCCTCTCTGTGTAAAATCAATAAAATATATTAAAAAAAAAAAAAAAAAAAGAATTAAAGAAATGGCTGGAAAACAACCAAACAGATTGTGCATCAAAATACAGCTATCCCAGGGGGAGTAAGGATGAGCTCATCCTGCAGGACACAGAGGAGAAAAGAAAGCATGAAGCATGTAGTAATCTACCCACAGCAAATGGGACAGTGATATCGGCTGCTTTCCACAGAGGACACTCACAATAGAATGACGGTCCTGAGCCAGTGGGCAAAACCATCAATGGTCACATTGTCAACTCAGATTCTTAGTCAGTTAGGGGACTGGAAAGAATCCCCAAAGTTCTCTGAGGCCTAGATGCTGAGAATGAGCCCTGCATCAAGGGCCATTCACACTAGCTTACTGCAGAGAGAGGGAGAGAGAGAGAGAGACAGAAACAGATAGAGAGAGAGAGAGAGAGAGAGAGAGAGAGAAAGAGAGAGAGAGAGAGAGAGAGAGAGAGAGAGAGGGGCAGGCCAAGTTTTCTGATACAATTTAAAATGGCAAATCCTTCTTTTCAGGTATTCGCTGAGGAGCGCTGCCCTCTGAGTCTGTCACTAAAATGAGATATGGAACTTAAAATGTAGGTTTTAACATAAAGATCCTATGCAATCCTATTCTCTTTAACTTAAAGACGGCAGAGGTTGTGTATACAGGGATATCGGAACAAGAAGGTATATATCCATGCCTGAGTAACAGTGTAGAGGGAGCTTTGCACATGTAGAGATAGGTACATGTGTATCTCCACAAATGTATGACCACCATGTCAATCTGCTACATATATGAATGCCTGCATTTAATATGATAGTTTCTTTCAACCCCCAATTGAAGGGGAAAAAAGCACACCTACCGTAGCAACTGCTCTGCCCACCCTGACAGCACCAAAGTCATTCGGGTCCAAGTACTTGTTACTGTAGAGGTAGAAGCCAGAGGCAGCAAAAGCCATGCTGGTCCAAGAGGCGAGCTTGAGAGCCCTTCTGGCCATGTTCCCAATCTGCAGAAGGCAAGTATAGAGAGAGAAACAACTGAGTTTCATAAACAGACCAGGATTCAAATCTAGGCTCTTAATAGATTGTATCTTGGGTCCTTTTCTTAATCTCGATGCTCCTGTTTTCTGTTTGTAAAACACTATCATACCCAATTCAAAAGTTGTTGGGAAAAAATGAGATCATCCTATATAATCCTATATAATAAGGAGGTAAAATACATATTGATCATCACTTCAACACACAAGATGGCCGTCCCCAAGTGGTCAAAGATGGCCGCCCCCCCGTGTGGAACAAGATGGCCGCCAAAAGATGGCCGGCAGAAGAGGACACTTGGGCAATCAGGCCAGCAGGGGAGGGCAGTTGGTGGTGATCAGGCCTGCAGGGGAGGACAGTTAGGAGTAACCGGGCTGGCAGAGGTAGGCAGTTGGGGATGATCAGGCCTGCAGGGGAGGGCAGTTGGGGGTGACCAGGCCAGCAGGGGAGGGCAGTTAGGGGGGACTAGGCCTGCAGGGGAGGGAAGTTGGGGGGACCAACCTTGCAGGGAAGGGCAGTTGGGGGTGACCGAGCTGACAGAGGTAGGCAGTTGGGGGTGATCAGGCCTGCAGGGGAGGGCAGTTTGGGGGACCATGCCTGCAGGGAGGGCAGTTGGGGGGGAGCAGGCCTGCAGGGGAGGGCAGTTAGGGGTGACCAGGCTGGCAGGAAGAAGCAGTTAGGGGCAATCAGGCAGGCAGGCAGACAAGCAGTTGGGAGCCAGCAGTCCTGTGAGAGTGATGTCTGACTGCCCATTTAGGATCTGGCCTAAACGGGCAGTCAGACATCCTTCAAGGGGTCCCAGATTGGAGAGGGTGCAGGCTAAGCTGAGGGACACCACCACCACCACCACTGTGCATGAATTTCGTGCACCAGGTCTCTAGTGTATATAATAAGCTCAGCATAGTACCCAGCGCACAAGTCAACTCTTGTCATAGCCCTTGCCTATGTGTCACTTACACACTGGATGGGATGACAGATATTAAGCAAACAGACGTAATATAAGTCTCTGCGGACTGAAAGGTCCCAGGTTTGATTCCAGTCAAAGGCATGTACCTTAGTTGCGGGCACATCCACAGTAGGGGGTGTGCAAGAGGCAGCTGATTGATGTTTCTCTCTCATCAATGCTTTTAACTCTCTATCCCTCTCTCTTCTTCTCTGTAAAAAATCAATAAAATATATTTTTAAATAAATAAATAAAGGGCCAAGCATTAATTTTTTTTTATTATTTACAGGCTACAATATCAGAACTATTCAACCCCGCATTGCAGATCAAGGCAAAAAGCAGCCTAGATGTTAGAATGCCAGCTGGTATGAAGTGCTGAGAAGAAAAAGAGAGAAAAAGGAAAGATGATGAATATGTGACGAGAGGCGGCTTTTTCTATAGGAAAAGTGGCAGAGCATGTCAACAATCATTACTTGTAACTATTAATATACCACCATGCACACACAGGCATCATTAGGCTTCTATGCCCAGGTCAGAAGGGGTCAGAAGCAGCCAGGTAATCCTCCCACATTTGGCTGATTTTCATTAGACTAGACTGCCCTTTGCCTAGACTGTGAGCTCTCTGAGTGCAAACACCATTAACTGGTACTCACAGTGATGCAGGGAGCTTTACAGTTAGGGTTTCCATGTCCACCTGACCTGAGAGGTTTAACCAAACCCACACACTCACAGTCAGTGAGACCAAGTGGGCTCCTTACCCCATGATACCTTCTCCCACCCCACTTGTACCTGCTCAGTCCACCACGTGGCTACACAGTCACTCTCTGGAGCTACTGCACTCAGTGGGTTGCTTCTCCAGGGAATTCTAATCAGACTGGTCTTTGATCACAGCTGCAGCTCCCAAAGGAGAGGGGAACTCAGGAGAGGTGCACCAGCAAAGCACTCCCCAGTGGGTCTCACCTCACTCGGATGAAGAGAGAAGGCCCCGACATGACTTACAAGATCCTACTTGACCTGACTGCCCAATTCCATCCAGGGTCTCAATCTTTACCCCTTGCCACCTCATTCCAAGGGCACTGATCTCCTTACTGTTCCTCAAACATGCCAGGCACATTCTGGCCTCAGAGCCTTTGCACATGCTGTTGACCTGCCTGGAATAGGAGTCAACAAACTATTTCCCTAAAGGGCCAAACAGCTGAAACTGCTTTGGCTCAGTGGATAGAGCGTCGGCCTGCAGACTGAAAGGTCCCAGGTTTGATTCCAGTCAAAGGCATGTACCTTAGTTGCGGGCACATCCACAGTAGGGGGTGTGCAAGAGGCAGCTGATTGATGTTTCTCTCTCATCAATGTTTTTAACTCTCTATCCCTCTCTCTTCCTCTCTGTAAAAAATCAATAAAATATATTTTTAAATAAATAAATAAAGGGCCAAGCATTAATTTTTTTTTTATTATTTACAGGCTACAATATCAGAACTATTCAACCCCGCATTGCAGATCAAGGCAAAAAGCAGCCTAGATGATATGTAAAGTAATAGATGTGACCAGATTTGGTTCTCCAGCTATCGTTTGCCAAACCTTGGCTTAGCTCATTGTAGGTAATCCAAAAGTATTTACTGAATAAACCAACAATGAATGAATAAACAATATCCCATGAACCTGAGCAGAGCCAGTAATAACATATATCCCGCCGAAACCGGTTTGGCTCAGTGGATAGAGCGTCGGCCTGTGGACTGAAAGGTCCCAGGTTCGATTCCAGTCAAGGGCATGTACCTTGGTTGCGGGCACATCCCCAGTGGGGGTGTGCAAGAGGCAGCTGATCAATGATTATCTCTATTGATGTTTCTAACTCTCTATCCCTCTCTCTTCCTCTCTGTAAAAAATCGATAAAATATATTTTTTAAAAACACACACATATGTCCCCAGGTGAGAATCACGTATGAGGGCTGCTAGTTGGCTAGCCATCCTCCTCTGGTCACCCCAGCACCAGCTCCCAGCCCTCGTCTCTTCTGAACCCCATCTTTTAGTGCACCATCCTCCACATCTGGCCTTGTAGGCGATGAGGCCACCCCTAGCATTGAGACAATCTCTGGGTGAGGAAGCAACTTCAAAATAGACACAACTCCCAAGACCTAGTTTTCATGCAAATGTCCGCAGTAATGAAAGAAGTGGAAATTGAAAAACATAAAATAGATGATATAGGAGCCAAACTGTGTCTAAATAGACTGAAACTGGAGTTTTCCATAAGGTGTCAGGGAGTCTTTAACATGCAAATGAGTTGCTTCCCTCGGGGTATTTTAAAATTTCAGCCCTGTCAGCCCTGAAATATGTCCGTCCATGAAAAACACCTCTCATTATTAAACCCTTTGCTAACGGATCACCTGCTCTCCTCTGTTTACTTGACTTTTTACTTTCACCTGAGTTATAATACTTCTCATAACAACATACACTTGAAGGGGGAGAGGCAGCTGAGGTCACCAAGACCCTAAACCAAATCATTAGGTAAATAACCCTAGTAATAACTAACCTTTACAAAGCCCTTTGCACTCATTATCTCATTTGATTTTCCACAAACCTCAGGGAGGTGAGAAATAGTATTACCACCCCATGTATAAGTGAGGAAACCGAGGAGCGCAGACGGGGAGTGGTTTAGCCCAGGCGGCTCAGACAGTAAATGGTTAAGTAAGAGCGTGGGCCCTATGACAGGTGACCTTTTGACAGGCTCTCCCAAACCTCTGTTCACCAACATTCTTACCACTGTTCACACGTTAACTAAATCAGCCACTCTGAGCAGGGACTATGATTTCGGACCCTCTACCATATGTAAGCAATGCCTGGCATATGGAAGATGCTACTTGGAGCCCTGGAAATCAATGTGTCACAAGAGCAACCAAAGCGCCTCTCTAGAAACCGATTCCAGCCTATGAAACATTTAGGAGAGCTGTGTTATTGTCAAAACTATGATTAAAACCCATCTCTCTTACCAAAAACGGTTTGGCTCAGTGAATAGAGCGCCGGCCTGAGGACTCAAGGGTCCTAGGTTCGTTTCCAGTCAAGGGCATGTACCCTGGTTGTGGGCACATCCCCAGTGGGGGGGGGGGGGTGCAGGAGGCAGCTGATCGATGTTTCTCTCTCATGGATGTTTCTAACTCTCTATCCCTCTCCCTTCCTCTCTGTAAAAAATCAATAAAATATTTTTTTTAAATAAATAAGAACCCATCTCATTGGACCACCCAGTGGGTGATGAAATGAGGCAACAGAGAAGTCTGGAAGTTGATGGGCAAATGAAATATCCACTCCTTGGCCAGAACTAAATGGGGAACCTCACACTTACTGTTCACCGGCCAATAAGTGGCTAGATCTTTTCAGTTACCATGCCTCCCCACATCACTTTCTGTGACAACAAGCCTGGAATCATCTCACCCTGCTTGGTGCACAGGTGAGAATGGTCACAGAGGAAAGGCACTTAGGGCCCTACTTCCATTAAGCCTGTAAAATGATCACAGCCTCCTCCCATTTCCTAGACAGACTATTAGACAAATGAGTCTTATTTTTCCTGGTGACTGTCGAGGATAAAAAGCAAACAAGGTGGATGGTTCCATCATGTCTTTGAGTTGATGCCCAGGGTTTGGCCTTGGCAGGTTTATCATCTGCTCTGCCCTATAGAGAGTGATGCAGTACCAGTGTAACCACACCCCACTTCCTAGGGTTTGATGCCCAGAAGGTGGCTGAGTCAATATTGATTAAATAAAGGAATCCCTGACTGGTGCCAAGGTCTCAGAGATGACAGGGAAAATAAATCTCATCCAAGCAAGGAATAGAGGTTCTTCATTCTCCTGGGAAAGAGGGCCTCAGGAAGAGCAGTGGAAAACCAAGTGCCAAGAGTCAGCAGCAGGCTAAGTGAGAGGTAGAATGCCAAGGGCTTTCACATCTCATGTAACTTGCACAATGTATTCTGAGGTGCACACTATTAGGGCTTCATTCTACAGATAAGGAATTGAGTTTTAGAAAAGGTAAGAAACT